GAAACGAAGCTACAGGGTATTCTATGAAAAAATGCACAGGTATCCGTTTCTTAGTTATTGGCCAAAAGCTCAATTATTCAACACGTTCTAGCTTAAATGCATTTTGCTTTGTTGATGAGTTCAAACAAACATCACTTCTTCAATTTGGATATTCTCAAACTAATTCTGATATAACTTTCTTGAAATTTCTCAACTTATTGAAGCATTTGATTTCAATAATTATTTGATTATCTAGTCACTCGTTTCAAGTATTAGGAATTTTGAACTTAATATCCTTAAAATTTTTCGTGAAATCATTTCACAAGAAAATACTTAGTTGTTTTACGAGGTGATAAGTTTCCTTTTTCACCAAAATTAGCAGGGGGGTCGATGTAAATGATAGTAGGGTTTATATTCAGCATTACCAAAAGCCGCACGAAATAAATTATATTTGAAAGATTTGAAAAATTCATTGTGTGGGAAAATCGTACTTTCTACTGAATATTTTCTCTTTTGTTTCTCAAACTTTTTTCAGTGTCACACATGATTTCGCTTTTGTTTGAATTGAATATTCAATTGTAGTACCACGTGCTTCACTGAAATTCACGGGAAGTATTTTTCCACCATTAGATAACAAAGACTTTTCAAAACTAAAAATCAGAAAAGAACTGTTTTGTGAACACGTTCAATTCAAAATTCCATAATCAGTTTTTGAAATTATCCAAATATTTGTTTTTTTATTCTGAATCTTGATGTAAAACTTGTTTCGATTCATATAAACCTCCATTAAAAAAAATTACATTTATTAATCTTCGTAAAAAAGAATATGCTGCTGCACAGTGAACATTTTTTGTCTAATATGCTGCTACACATTGAACATTCTTTGTCGAGGTTTTGATCTTTTACCATGTCTATCAATTCTCCAAAGTGAGAAAGAATATACAAACACGGGAGCGGCTTCATTGGAAGTGGGACACTCTCTATACAAAATGAACAAGCAATATTTTTAACTAATTGCATCAGAACTTAGAATGGAACTGAAAAATAATATTCCATATATACAATGTACTCTCTTCACAAAGATGAATTGAAGAAGAAAGTAATACAAAGCATGAAGTTATGAAACAACAAAAATTAAGTAGCGCCCCGGGGCGGCTTTATTGATTCCAATGGCGCATTTGCTTTTTCAGCAGCAGGAAAACCCGGAAAAACCTGCAGCACCACATAGTCTGAAGACCTTGATCTACCAATGTCTTCTCTTTCATAAAACAAAATGTAGGGTGTCTCCAGAGGCTCCAATAAGTTCAAGACATCGCCAGAACACTTTGTGACACAACTATCGTCAAATTCAAACCAGTCCGTTTCGTCTTTGACGAATGCGTAATAATGATCAGATTCAACGCCAGAACCACAGTGAATAATAACCGCATGAAGATTATAATAGTGATCTGCTAGATTGAAATGTTCATTTTTTTCAAATATTTCAAATGAAATCATCATCAATCACTCCTTGTCCTGAATGTTAAAATATCTGTACTTTTCGAAATATATCAAAACAGAATACCATGGAAACAGAAGGAACTCACCAGTACTTCGAAGAATATTCAAGAAAGACATGAAATCTCAGCAAACCTAAGGTTGTTTCCGTTCATCGAATTCGATTTTCCCATCTTCTCCAGCTGAAGTTTCATTCATCATGAGACAATGGACTCAAGTTCTTTTTTGTACCATTCAAACAATATCAATGGTGAAAACACATCCTCATGAGACGAACTGACGTCCCTTTCCACACCAAAATGTCCATCCACTCTCAGAGAACACAAAACTCTTACTTTTAACAATCATCTATCCATTTGTTTCATCGAATGTGGATGAAGAATAGAAAAAAGTTATGGTCAGGTTATGTAATTCATCAATGGTGGGGGTCCTCTGTGATGTTCATATTCCTACAATGACCTATGACTATTGAAACTATTGAAAAGAAGTGGCCACCTTCAATGTTCATTTCGAAAACTGTTAGTGATAGAAAATGTATGATCAAAGTGTATGATATTCAGTTTCCACTAACACTATCGACACAAATTTTATATTCTAGCAAAATTGCTAATTGTTACGCAGTAACTTATCGGGGTAAACTAAAAAGTTTGCCCTTCTACACTTGTATAAAGTTCTCCATTATAATTTTTATATTTTTTCAGATTGTGGAAGGTAACCATTACCCAAAAAAAGGTCGATAAAAAACTGATTTTTTCCTCCACAAAAAATGACTTTCGTTGAATAAAATAATTGTTTTGACAATTCGTTTTATTTGCTTTCTTCGCACTATTGTGTGCAAAAGTAGCCAACAATAATATATTTTTAGGTAACTGCTGTCAAAAATTCTTTTTAGTAGTGGTTATTTTTGGAATATATATCAACAAAAATATCGTATCAGTAAAACAAGTATCATTCAATTCAATTTTTTGCAGAAATCCTACTCAAATGTCGCCACACTGAATAAACTCTGAAATCATTTATATTTCCAATACACTCAGTTCTATTTTGGCACACATAAATAACTTTCTTGACTGACACTGATGAGCTCTTGGGAAGAGAATGTTTTTCACATGAAAACATTACAAGAGTTCCATTAAGATATTCACGAATAGTATTGGACATAAAATATGCATTCGTGAAGAGATACAGTGCATTCCAGATGAGATGAGCCACCCTCATTACCAAGTCATTTGATATTGAAACTGTAAAAAATCGAGAAATAAAGCAATTTCAGTTATCAGAAAAACACAGTTCTATGTAAAACTCAACCACATTACAGTTCTTCCATCTTGTATTCATTTTCGAGAATACACCGATGATAAATCTGAGAAAAAAAAATACTTTTTTGAGTTTGTATTCAATTGCGAACAAAAATATGAAAATAAGCCGAACAATTCACTTTGTCAAATGTTACCACCAAGTGTTCAAGTTATCATGTGTCACCATCAAAAAAGTTGACATAGAGATGGAAAAAGTGGAAATTTGAATGCCAATAAAACGAATTGCCAAAACAATAATTTTGTATGAACTATTTATTGGTTCATTAGCAATTTTGCCATAAAATAAAATGTGAGAGTTCTTTTCTTCACTACGATAACCCTCAGGAGCGGACGCTGGTGCGAACTATGGATTAACGAGGTCTGACTTTCTAGCACAGATCAGACAATACGCATAGGCCAATCAGAAAGCTTCTTGAGTGGCCCCTGCACTTGGCCAAAACTCTACCCCGAGTTGGACTCCGTTCTGTAAGTACCACATCAAAGCCCCAGAGAGATCACTTCACTTCTGCGGCCACACACGGATGCGCTCGTACATGGGGTCTTCCATGAACAAAGTTGAAAATTTCAGCTTATCAACTCACCTGACTTTTTTTTTAAATGGATTGGCTGAAATTGGAAACAGAGTGGTTGTTCAGGATGTAGTTTTCTACAACTTAGTCTACCATAGTTACGTGATAATATAGATGTTCCAGAAAGTAAATGCAGAGACTGCTTGAGAGCGAAGCATCTGAGAGGGAGAGAGAGAAAAAATGAACAGCAATAAACTATATTAATTAGTTTTTCAATATGGATTTTCATCAAGTATCGGCCAGTTCTATTCAACTATTGAATTCATAAAAAACTTCTTTTTCAAGATTTCAATACCCTGATAAAAAGAGGCAGCGTTTTTGATATAAGATCGCAGATTCAGAGTGAGGAACATGTCATTAGTTATATAATATTTCCAATCAATAAGAAATTTTATTAGATAGAAAGAAACTGTACTGAACAACAACTTCAATCAAAACATGATTTATCTCATCCGTGAAAAAAAACTTTTCAAACATGATATCAACTAAGTATCCCCTACATTGAAAAACTCTAACACCTGCGAAACACTCACATATATATGAGAATTAGCAGATGAAATAATGAAAAGGCTACTAACAAAAGCAAAAAAGCAAAAAAGCATGTAAGACTATCGACTCCTTGGGTAGACATATACATAAAAACAAAGATAACAAATCAGGCGTCTACAAACTATCATGTGTATCGTATCAGAAAGTTTATATAGGAAGAACTTCAAGAAATTTCAAAACAATAATCTCAGAACATTAAAAAAGTTCTGAACTGAAGATAACCACTTTCCACATGCTTGCCATCTTTTGCCATGGGCTACGATATATTATATACAGAAAATCAAGAACAGAAATTAAACCTGTTTGAATCTCCGGAAATCAATCAACGCAAATATTCAATTTTTTTTTCAAATGTCCATCAATAAGTTATTCACCCACCATTATCAAACTTGTTTTCATAAATTGTCAATAATCAACATATTTATAAATTACCTGTAATAATTTATTGAAATTGTTTTTTCAAAACCTACCTGTTTTGCCAGAATCATTCATGTAATTAGGATTTGGCATAAAATGCCGTTGATTGAAATATTCATAAATTATGTATTTTATTGAAAGTAACATTGTATTGTATTTATTTTTTCAAACTACTTGTTTTATTTTTCTGACTGGGTTTTGTATTTACCTACTGATATATAAAATACATTGTAAAATAGTTTGATATACCAGTCTATAATTATTATCATGGATAGTGTTATTAATTTTCATCAAGAAACGGTTCAGTGTATTAATTATTTTTTCATTGGTCATTACTGAATATGACTTTCAATTTTTAATAATGAAATTTTTAATTTTTGAAAATCACCGTGTTCAATGATAACTCGTATAACAATGCTTTGTTGTGATATTTTCGAATAACAGTTTAAAAAACCGCAACGCTATACAAAAGTTTATTCAGGCTACGTTGCACTATATGTTTCTTCAGGCGTGTCTAGCACATTTAAGGAAATGGGTGATTGAGTTTAGTGAACAGTTATGTAAAAATATCCTAAAAGAGTAGATACTCTTGGATACGTTTATATTTTCATCAAGTATCTGCCGAATTCATCTAAAATCATAAATATTACAAAAAAGCTTTCATTTTCAGATTACTTCAAAGGGCCGAAGAAACAGCGTACATCAACATCAATTGTGTGGACCCATTGGGTAGAAGTGCATTATTGATGGCCATCGACAACGAAAATTTGGAAATGGTGGAGTTACTCATAGAGCACCGTGTTGAAACAAAAGATGCTCTACTCCATGCTATTTCGGAAGAATTTGTCGAGGCAGTAGAAGTTCTACTGGAACACGAAGAAACCATTCACAAGAAGGGAGAGCCTCATGTAAGCAAATTCTATGCAAATTCTGTGCATTCGAACAGTGTATCATATGAAACTTCTTTTTGTAAGGGGGATAAATTTAGACCTAAAAACTATTGCTTCGTAAAGTAGGTACTGTGGTAAATTTTGGAGCACTGACATTAATGATTTGCCATCACAGGTCTTCTGATATGTCAGGTGGAGTGCGATACATTTCGATTTTATGTGTCCTCACATAAAAAACTGAAGGGTTTAAGTTGGGTGAGCGAGAAGGTTACTCCATTAAGACACCTTTGTCCTATCCAACAAAAAAAATCTGTTCAAAATCTGTTTTTTCGTTAACCAGCTGTCGCACCCCTAGGAACGACATCCCTAAGAAGTCGAAACTTGTGCTAAAGATTACCGAGGTCTTACCTTTTAACGTGTGATTCCAACAACCTCCAATAACCGTTTTGATGGCATATCATTACAAATATATCTTTCGGCAGGATTATTCTGTAGTGGGAGCATGGTCTATAGCATTTTGGATCAAACCAAGATACATGAGACGTGATTAATTTTCAGGAAAAAAAAGGTCCTTGAGTTATAACAAGTAAACCTTCACAGACCAGTTGGTAACTGAAATGATTGGTATTGAGGTTTAAGGTATTTCAAATGTTGGAAAAACTATAATCTCTATTAATTTTAGGTATCGTTTTTATTCTGAAAAAGAAAATGAGAATTTCTACAATTTCAATTTGTAATACGTATCGATAACATACCAGCACCTTTGTGTGCAAATGGTTTCACATAATTCATTTCAAAATCTGACATATAACTCACCTGCTGGTTTCATCGTCAACATTTGAAATAATGATTCGGTTTATCTCTCAAAATACTGTTCAACACACACCCCTAGTAGTGACCAATTTTCTCATACCAAACGTACTATCCAATACTGCTACCTATAAAGTATTTTTTTTTATTTTCAAACAATTTAACTTCGCAAAAGTAGCAAAAAAGTCTGTTAGATGTCTGTTAGAATGCTGCCGGTTGAATAGCACAGCAACAGGTCTTCAGCATTCATTATTGTGACCTAAAGTTTCATAATTTCTTTCTTCTTTCTTTCTTTGCCAATTCGAATCTTTTAGCAAGCGGAATCCCGATAATTCCTGAACGGCAAACATTCTTCTTGAAGGAAATGGTTTTCAATATTCAGATTGATGAGATAGATTTTTTTACAAATCGATTGAACTTTTGTATTTTTACAGAAATGTATCGAAGTTCTATATTCTCTGAACGGTTGGACCTATTTTCCGAAGCCAAGCAGCAATAGAACAAAAGCCCACTTAGAGATATGAATCTTTTCTCTTTTGTAAAACGTTCTTTCCCTAGTATTTCTGTCTCACGGTACGTTTCCGATTTTTCATTCTGTATAATAAAACAGAAATACTTTTTTCCATAAAGTAATAACTCTATCTTGAGAACTGTCGTATTACTCCGTTATTTCTACGCCAAAACATTTCTGAAAATGAAAAATTTCAAGTCCATTTCTAATAGATATGTTTCATTGCCGGTATACTGAAGTGGTTCTTCCACATATCCACATAAACACAAAATAGGGCATTTAAAAGCATGATTCACAGACTAATGAATGTTCCTTTCTCGTATGTGAATTTTCAGTAAAAACTGAATGTGATAAAACAGATTGTAACAATTATGGTTATGACAGCAATCTAACAGATTCTATACTATACAAAAAACTATACAGTCAAGCCATGAAGGAAATTCACCCGATTCCAAGAGACGATAGGAAAAATGATATAACATTAACATATTTGGGTCAAGTTTGAAGACTTTCAATTTCCTGAAAAATACATGTGTAATTATAGCGTTCAACATCAATAATAACTTGAGGTATCATATTAAAAAATAACAAAGAAGAGAGTTCGGTATCAGATAGATCAGGGGTTTATACATTGTCTTGTGGTTCTTCTCCGATATTTTACATAGGACAAGCTGAAAAAATATTTGAAGCACACATAAAAGAACATTGAAACAGTTTTCAAAGTGGAAAATGAAGTCAACGTTATACTCACATCCTTACAGAGGGGCACGAGTTCATTCTTGAATTTAAATTCCTTAATTTCCAGAGGAATGGTTTTGAACTTGACCTTCTGTAAAGTATAGGAAGTATAAAAATTCCCAACATCAAATTGAGTTGAATCCCTCTCCGTTACTCAATATGTTCTTACCAGATATTGATTAGATCTTCATATAATTTTCACTAGTGCATAAGTATTTTTACCTGTTTTTACCTGTATTCACCTGATTTTATCAGTTGTATCTGCTCTTTTCAGGTAGTTAAAACTAAATTGTCTGATCGGACCGTAGATCATTGTAATGTTTTCAAAATATAGAATAATTCAATGTAAAAGTGGGTAATCAAGTCCTGCTTGAGAAAGCTATTGTATAGCGAAACACGTGTCGCGGTTTCTGAATCTTTCGTAGTGAAAATCAAAATAAATCTTTTTGGTAAATTTCGATTCAATCCATCCAATAACTTAAATTGATTTTTTCATTGGTTAAAGAAAAATTCCAATTCGTTCCTCAATTATAATTCCCAAAAGTGTTCACAGATTGTATTGCGACTTTCCGTATATATAACGAAACAGAAAACCATCCTTTCATTCGAAGAAATCCCAGGTGTTGAAAGAACATTAGTCCTTTGTTTATCACTCCTTTATACCTACCCAAACTCATTTTTAACATTCACAGTCACCTATTTACAAAACGTCCAGAATCACGGTAATTCATGAATTCCATCAGAATACATCTAGAAGAACTTAGGCTGAAATCCATCTAAATGAAAATGGCACACTTTCCTAATAACGTCCTCTTTCGATTTCCATAAATTTACAGTTTCCCCGAGAAGTTTCTTTCGTGAAATATTGGGTATACAAAGTAACACAAAGCGGGGACCTCGATAATATATGTCTGGGGCATCCAATCATTACGAAATACCTGACGCAATGAAACACATACTGCTACATGACATTTCGTTCTTCTACAAAACAAAACAGATGGAAGTTTGCGTTCAATCAGAGAGAGCTCTTGTTTGCATTATACCTTGCACTTGGTAAATCGAAGGGGGATATAGTGTATTTACTTAAGCAGCGGAGTAATGAATCGTTTTCAAGTGGCTGTACCATAGGCGTACATAACTGAGTCAGTTGAAAAGTGTAAAATGTAGTTTTCATTCAAAACATTCAATGATATACAGCTTGTCAAATCTAGGAAGACTTGAGAATTATCTCTCTCTCTCTCTCTCTTTCTCTCTCGATTTGATGATCTTCTAACGAACGCATATCTAGTGGGCGGGACCACAACGGAATTCAGAAAGCTCTTCGTACTTTTGACAAGCTGTCACTTATCTCAGAAATCTTTTTATAGTTGTATGTATACTGTGAGTAACGAAAATATAAAACAATGGCAATAATAATTCATAGATTTTTTTCATCAAATACTCAAATTATTTTTGTTTTAGAATTTTGATAAAAATTTTCAATACTTTGTATGAAAAATAAATTTGAATGTATCACATACCTGCAAAACTTACCTGAATAAATCAGGCATACGTCGCAATTCGATCCGATTCAATAGTGCTTCATTGCTGTACTTTATTAGATGAAGAATATGAATTGATGATGAAGCCTTTGGGTTTTAATCAGTGTTTTTATGAGTTAAATGATATTACAACGTTTCCTTACTCGATTCTTGATCCTAACCCTGGAACACTTGGTATTTTGTGTCGCATAATATAATTGACACGTAAAATTTGTTAAATATACGTACCTAGGAAATTCAAGATGGAAATATCTCAATTTTCTAATAAAAGGCTGAGAAAAGTCACAAAAACGATTTAATGATGGAAAAATAAAATAATATGACATAAAATTATGGTATGACCTTGGTAATGACCAAAATCAAATATTATTATTATATTATAAAATATCGATTAAGTGAAACACTTGGGACAAATTCTAATTGTGTGTTCTCCACAAATTGGTTTATTGCACTTGGAACAAAATGTTGTGGTCATCTTTTTTTTCTGTTGAGCACAAGTGGCAGTATTTTCTTGGACCTTTTTTGTTTCACACTACTACTTCTTCGTGATCTCCTTTCTTCTCGTCTTCTTCCAATAATTCAGGAATAACTTTCCTTAGGTCACATTTCATGTTGAGTATATTTTCCATATGTGTTTGCTGAGGCTTCGAAAGTTTTCTTATGAAGGTCTATCATGAACAAATTTCTTTTAATCGGCTTTCCTCCATATGAAATAACATTATGACAATAAATGATGAAGGAGTTTATGATAGCCATGTTTATCATATTTAAAAAAAAATAATTTGGCCACCTTTTTGCTTTTCTGTTTCTGCACATATTATGACACATCTGGACGAAAGTATCAACTACGTGTATTATTTCTGTTTTATGGGTGTCATTATTGATTATTCCAGAAGTGTGCATGGTGGACTAAAATGAAACTTCATGCTTTTTTGGCTTGTATGGAACCAAAGTACTGTTTTTGCTGACAGCTGACGGTGTTTTTTATTTTTTATGAGTGCTTGTGGAATTTGCGGCTCATTTTTTTGAATTGTTCCAGCTATTGTCCATAGGTACATTGTGATTTGATCAATAAATTGGTCTTGTCGATTTACCCAAATAAGGACAAGCATTTATTAGATATTTATTAGAGTTGAAGTGTCATTCAGTAATAGCATTTTTAGTCCATATGTTGAGGGTTCATTTGGAATGTACATTCGAATAGGATATTTGCCAAGAAATCCAGCTAGTTGTTCGTCTATGGTTTATGGTACCATATAAACTGGGTTTGAATTTGGTCTGGAATACTTCGATACATTTCTCCCAGATTTCGGATATAGGAGCAAATACTGAAACTGCCCTTCTTTCAGCCCTCGTCGTCTTATTATCAAACCTTAGGAAAGAGGTTAAAAAATCAAACCACACTTTACTCATAGTTGTCCTATAACGAGTGCCACAAAGGGTAGAATCAAACATTATTTTAAACGACAAATGTTTGTCCTTCATTGTCGCAGCCAGTATATAAATGCTCAATACTGCTTTTAGTTCATCTACATTGGTTTCTGATACTTTCTTCGTTATATTTTTTCAGATTGTGGAA